TTCCCTCCCCCAGGAGTCAGGCCTGTTGCCAGCCATTTCTGGGGTGCAGCGCAGTCTGCGGGGCCAGGACAGGTAGCTAGCCGCATTAGCACCCCCACTGATCACCTGGTCCCCCTGCAGCAATGAGACCCAGGGCCTGACATTCCATGACCCAGAAGTGGGTCACGCCCCCTAGTTTGAAAACAACTGGTCTGCGGACAACAGCTGTGTGTATCTACACTCCCCAGCGAGTTCAAAATGGACAGTAACATTCCCAGCGCGGTGGCACCCCAGCTATGCCAAACGCAGCCGTTCCCGGTTCCATTCCTTTGAGCAGGCAGCCCAAATGGTGCTTTGGTCTTTTGCCCGCTGCATTGCCCTGCAAACTCCTCTCTGACCTCCAAGGTCACCTCCGCCGTTTTCCGCACCACTGCTTCGTACATTCCCCCCTGCCATTCCTTCAGCCTCCGGCGCCGTACCGAAGGGAGCAGGTTTCTCACGTACCTTCGCTTGCTGTTCATGCTTCCCGCTTTAGACCAAGAATCCGTCTCTGGGTTGTAAACTTCCACCGTGCTCAGTCTTAACTGGCCGTCGTAGCCACCAATGGCGTACAAGAGTCCATTCACCACGGCCACGCCCACTCGACTCCGCGCCGTCGTCATTGGCTGGCACTTCTCCCAGCGATTGGCAATGGGGTCAAACACTTCCACCACATTCAGTGAATCACCTGCATAAAAATTTGCTACTCAAATTAAAAAAAGTGACAGGGCCTGGGGATTCCTTGGAGTCTCTGCTGAACGGGGGCTGAAGCAGAAAATTATGGGCTTCCGCCATATGTTCATCCATGCCTGGAAGGATAAAGGGGATACAAGGTTTGTGCTTTGAGCTTTCAGGGCAAAACCTGAGCCCAAGGCCTTGCGTATCTGCACAGACCATCCCTACAGGTGGGCACCTGCCTGATGGGCTATGGAAGGGTAGTAGGGACCATTAAGAGGCTACACTCAAGCCTTCCGATTGGCGTCACCCCCTTAGCTGTTGCATCTTTTTATTCCTACATAAATGTTAGCTGCTGCAAGAATCCCCCACCCAGTGCCACCCAACCCCCAGGGAAACTGCTCAACAACGCAGGGAGTTCCTGTAAACCTGGGCGCCAGACTCCTCACATCCTGCCCCTGCAGTAACACACCAGGCTCGGAGACTTAATCAGCATCTCTAGGGCCAGTCGACTCCCTAGAATCACAGCATGGCTGCCTTCAGCCTTCTCCGGTAGGGACCCAGGCCTCACCGGGCAGCCCCCGGCTTGTGTGAGCTGCTGCCCGGTGCGGATCCCAGTTTCAAAGCTATTGTAAATCTCCTGGCTGACGGTCGCCCTAAAGAACGATGGTGTAATGCAGTTCCGCCAACATTCTACTAGCCAAACTACTGCTTTATCACATCCCTTCCTTGTCCCCTACGGAGCTCATGCTGGGGGACCCCTTCCCTGTCCCCTACAGAGCTCATGCTGGGGGACAAGGCAGGGATCTGGAGAACCTGGCGGTTTGAAGAACAGAGCAGAGTCCCGCAGCCAGGAAGAAAACAACAGGGGAGGCCACCTAGGGATGAGAAGGACTAGTTGCAGCTAGCAAACGCTTATCAGATAGTCGACAGGATAGTCGACTAGTCGCTTCCCCGCCTCGCTGCCTCTCTCAGAAAGCGGTAGCAAGGTGGGGTGGAAGAGGAGGGGTACTTCAAAGTGTCAGTGTCACTTGAAGCCTGGTTCCAGACCCTGGGCTCCACACAGCACTGCCGCTTTGAAATGCTACTTGCAGCCTGGAGACAGCTGGGGCGACCCCAGGCTCCACGCGGATTTCAAAGCGGCAGCGCCATGTGGAGCCCAGGATCAGCTGGGGATTCCCCCGCTGACCCTGGCCTGCACGCAGCACTGCCAAATTGAAATGCCGCAGGGAGCCCAGCGTCAGCGTCTGTGGCATTTCAAAGTGGCAGTGCCACAGGGATCCCAGCGTCAGGCTAATCCCGGGCTCCACGCAGCACTTTCACCTTTGAAGTGTAGCAACGTTTGTTGCTACACTTCAAAGGTGGAAATGCCCAATCAACTAATCGAATAGTCAATGCAGAAAACATCAACTATTCGATTAGTCAATTAGTTGCCATTTAAACCTCCTTGAGGCCACTGGCTGCTGAATGGCTCATGTGGCAGCACTTACACTGGGCCCCAGAATTTTAGTGGCTTGAGCATTGGCCTGCTAAACCCAGGGTTGAGAGTTCAATCCTTGTGGAGGTCATTTGGGGCAAAAATTTGTCAGGGATGGTACTTGGTCCTGCTGTGAAGGCAGGGGACTGGACTTGACCTTTCAAGGTCCCTTCCAGTTCTAGGAGACAGGCAATCTCCATTAATTTAAAAAATTTAAAAAATTAGATTGCAACGCGGGGGCGAGGGCAGTGTTCTCAATATCCCTGAGCAATCCAGCCGGCGTTCCTAGAGTGCCAGAGGTTCAACAACTGGTAAGAGCCACCTTCAGAATTCAGTTGGCTGGATGCTCTCAGTGTCAACACAGGCAGCAGGAAAAGGGAGAGCAGGAGAGACTGCTTAGCATTCAGTGGGTGAGGGATGTACTTCACAGTCAGACTGCTACTTGATATACCACGGCACAGTGTAGCTGGGGGACAGGGATATGCAAGGTACCTGCTGAATTCAGCCCTCCAACAGCATAAATCAATCCTGCGATGGAGGTGCAGCACCGGGGACGGGTTTTGAATGCTGGGAGGTGCGGCCGGCGTTCTGGCATTAGGTGGTAGTCTTTTGCCTCATCCACCAGGTCCCTGAAATTAAGACCAAAAACATGAGAAGGACAGGTTAGTGGTGTTGGGACCACCCTCCTTCTGGGCTGAGGCCATCGATGAGGATGTCAACTGATCTCTTCTCTACCAAGAAAGAGCTAATCTTCCTAGATCGGGGTGGGCAAAAATCGGGGCCGGATCCGGCCTGCCAACCTTTTCGCTCAATCTGAAGCATGGATAGTGGAGTGACTCAGAGGAGCACCTGTCTTAAGGGGTAGTGCCGAGTTTCTAAGATATCACACACACTCACACTCACTCCTTCCTTACCCCATCTCTGCAGGTAAGATATGCATGGAAACTTTTCAAAGACACCACAATAGAGGCCCAACTTAAAGGTATACCCCAAATTAAAAAACATAGGGAAACCAAAAAAAAAAAAAAAACCACCCTGGCTTAACAACCAAGTAGAAAATGCAGCGAGAGATAAAAAGGCATCATTTAAAAAGTGGAAGTTAAATCCTAGTGAGGAAAATAGAAAGGCGCATAAACTCCGTCAAATTAAGTGTAAAAATATAATAAGAAAAGCCAAAAAGGCTCTTGAAGAACATCTAGCCAAAAACTCAAAAATAGCAAAATGTTTTCAAGTATATTGAAAGCAGGAAGCCTGCTAAAGAGGACTGAGATGTCAAAGGAGCACTCAAAGCCAATAAGGTCATTGTGAAGCATGGGGGGAGGGATAGCTCAGTGGTTTGAGCATTGGCCTGCTAAACCCAGGGTTGAGAGTTCAATCCTTGTGGAGGTCATTTGGGGCAAAAATTTGTCAGGGATGGTACTTGGTCCTGCTGTGAAGGCAGGGGACTGGACTTGACCTTTCAAGGTCCCTTCCAGTTCTAGGAGACAGGCAATCTCCATTAATTTAAAAAATTTAAAAAATTAGATTGCAACGCGGGGGCGAGGGCAGTGTTCTCAATATCCCTGAGCAATCCAGCCGGCGTTCCTAGAGTGCCAGAGGTTCAACAACTGGTAAGAGCCACCTTCAGAATTCAGTTGGCTGGATGCTCTCAGTGTCAACACAGGCAGCAGGAAAAGGGAGAGCAGGAGAGACTGCTTAGCATTCAGTGGGTGAGGGATGTACTTCACAGTCAGACTGCTACTTGATATACCACGGCACAGTGTAGCTGGGGGACAGGGATATGCAAGGTACCTGCTGAATTCAGCCCTCCAACAGCATAAATCAATCCTGCGATGGAGGTGCAGCACCGGGGACGGGTTTTGAATGCTGGGAGGTGCGGCCGGCGTTCTGGCATTAGGTGGTAGTCTTTTGCCTCATCCACCAGGTCCCTGAAATTAAGACCAAAAACATGAGAAGGACAGGTTAGTGGTGTTGGGACCACCCTCCTTCTGGGCTGAGGCCATCGATGAGGATGTCAACTGATCTCTTCTCTACCAAGAAAGAGCTAATCTTCCTAGATCGGGGTGGGCAAAAATCGGGGCCGGATCCGGCCTGCCAACCTTTTCGCTCAATCTGAAGCATGGATAGTGGAGTGACTCAGAGGAGCACCTGTCTTAAGGGGTAGTGCCGAGTTTCTAAGATATCACACACACTCACACTCACTCCTTCCTTACCCCATCTCTGCAGGTAAGATAACACAGCAGGACAGCTTTCCCTGTCTTAAAGAGACAGTGCATGGCTTCTCTCAGAAACTTACGCAGCAGCAGCCAGTACACACAGTGTCACTGTCACATACAGTCTGTCTCTCACACGTGTGTGTGAGAGAAAGAGAATCTCTGTCTCTCTGTAGCCCCCAACCCCAGCTCTTTCATCTGAGGCCCCGCCCCTTCCAGGGGGCCTGGAGCCAGCCTGTGACCATGTAACCGAAATTCACGAAGTGGTCCCTGCTGCGGAAATTATTGCCCACCTCTGTTCTAGCTGATGGTTCAGCCACGCCAGCAGGGTAGCAGGAGGGAATTGCTGTTTTGCTACATGTGGCATTCCCATTTCATGGAAAGAGGATTTCAGTCTCTGGGAGCCCCACTCCCCACACTATCAGCATGGACTCCTCGCAATGAGCAACTCCTGGACAGCCACCAAGTGCTCACCGGCATTTATGGCAGCAGCGCACGAGGTCATCTTGTTGCACGCGGTCAGTGAGGAACTGAGGTCGACAAAGGGGCAGTCGGATTTTGGACAGTAGCTCGGGTAAGCAGGGTTCCCGCTGATCTCGATCGTACCGGACCCAGGCCAACGCAGCTTCGAATACCTGCCGGAAGAGAGAGGAGCATTTGTTGCTAGGTGCTTGGGGGAGAGACACGAGATTTTCTTTTCTGTGTCCTGAAGCAGCTCACAAGAGGAGGAAGGAAACAACCTGTAACAAATGGGCTGTAATAGAAGGAACATCTTGCCTAGGTGCACAGTGATCACGAACACAGAAAGGGATCTAGAGCAAAGATACTGACACTACCACCCAGCGACCTGCTCAGGATATTATTCCTTCCCCATTCTTAGCAGGCATCTCTCGGTCACTGGGGCCATCAACATCATTGTTGAATTGACCAGAGGGGTCTATTATAGCATGGGACATTCTGCACGAGATCTGGAATTCATTTCCCACCCATAGCCACAGTGTGCTGACCTGGGCAGGCGTCCATTCCAGGAGCATTGTCCCATTGGTCTACCCAGGCCACTGCCTCCCGAGCTCCTGCTGGACTGATCCCAGTAGACGAGAATTTGAACGGAGGTCTCCACAGAACTGATGTGGAACAGTATTAAGGCCAGTTCACACAGGGAGGCCTCTGTTCTTCCAAGAACTGAATTGTCTAGGACAGCAAAACTTTCTGGTAAACAGCTGATTACTAGCATTTGTGGTTACTACTGCCACCTTGTGGTGTAACCTTGCCACTGAAACAGGCCACTAACCATCATGCACACAGGCTAAATATGGGGTTGGCGTGGAGACAATGTGGACAGCCACACACATCAGACCAAAGTTTCAAAGCCTTTCATTTACACTGGAACAAGCCAGAACCCTCCCATTTACTTCATGCTAGAAACCTCTAGAGAAAGGATTGCTCCAACCGATCGGAAAGTGTTTCAACACAACTTGCCAGAAGATCCCAAAATGCTGTAGAACCTCAGCGTTATGAACACCGTGGGGTTAGAGTATCAGAGGCAGCAGCACGGGCTGGCAGAAGGCTCCCCTGTGCGCTCTTCATTTAAAACCGGGACCAGTGGGCTGGGACTGAGCCAGCCTGCTGCTCCGAGTTTCAAATGCAGAGCACGCAGGAAGATGTGGGAGTGGGTCTGTGGTTAAACCAGGCCTGGCAAGCGATTAAACGGTTAGTCGACTAGCCGCAAACATCCCTGTCACCCCCCAGACCACCCCAGGAGGAGTCTTCTAGCTGCAGATCTCCAGTTAAAGTCAGGATCACTGCTGATGTGGGCCCGAGTGGCGGTGCTTAGTCAACGGGCAGAGAAGAGCCATTTGATAAGCGGAGAGAAGCCCCAATTCTCCCAGAATGAAGACATTATCCGAGAAGAGGGCCTACCCCCACCACCCACAAGGCCATCTCCTCTGCTCCCTGCATGGACCAGTTCCACTTCTCTCACAGATCAGCTGTGCGACTGCCCCAAGCATTTCAACCCCTCTAGTGACGCACGCTGCTTCTGCTACGCCGCGTACAGGCCGGCCCACGTACCTGCTCCTCGGACTTGACGTTAAGCTCATCCCTGGAGACCAGCTCCAGCACGTCTTCGAAGGGCAGAGCAAGGAACTCTTCGGACATGGACACCTCCACAAAGTGCTGGTGGGTGAAGCTATTGGCAGTGTCGTAGAGCACGGTACACATCATGGTTTCTGCAAACTGACGTACGCCCAGGCAGTTCTTAGGGTGCAGCCTTCCAGGATAAAAAAAACCCCACGACACTCCATTAACAGAAGGGTTAACAACGTACATGTCTTTAATGCAGTGCAAAGATGCAGTGAACAGGAAACTGAACCAAGCGACAGGAAAAATGTAACCCGGTGAAACAGAGGGACGTGCCACATTAGAGGACAGACCCTTCCTGCAAACACCAGTCGGCAGGTTCCATTGGCCAGTGTTTGCCATCACGAAGAGTCACTCGGCCCAAATTAAGAGGGCAGGTGAATCACACTATGAGAACAATACGCCCCTTGTTGACACTCTCAGAAGTACCAAGGACTGACTGGTCCTAGCGACTGATGTGCACTCCCCCCAGCGTGGGCACCCTAAAGTTAGGGCTGTGACAAGTTGGGGGAGAAGCAATGCAGGAATCTACACAATGTTCCATCTACCATTGGCAGATCCCAGGAATGAAACCGGTTTGACTTCAGGTTTGACAGCCAGAGGAAGCATCTTCTTCAGAAGCTTACAACCCTTGTTTGCTCTCCCCACACACCTTCGCTAATTACGGACGTGAGCTCCACCTCTTCTTCCTTGACTTTCCTGGCCAATGAAGCTTTATTGAGGATGTCTTTTAGCAAGTAAAGGTCAGAATGCAGGAACAAGCCCTGCAGAAATGAGCTAACGATCAGACCAGCCGGGCAGGAGCTTCTGCATGCCATCAGAAAGCAGCACAAAGGAAAAAAAAAAAAGAAAAAAAGAAAAAAAAGAAGGGCTAATACAAATATAGTGCTCTAAATCAGTTTCTCTCAACCAATGGTATGAGTACCTTAAAGGTACTTGAGAGGGGTCGGAGGGAGGGGGGGTACGTCAACAACTGAAATTTGGAGAAAACAGAATTTTTGTTGTAAGTTTTACAGCGCTTTATTTTTGTAATTTTCACACCCAAAAATGTCACTGCCCACCTGGCTACGATTAAGTTGTTTAAACAAATGTGTTGCAATGGTAGAAAAAAATTGTGTGGTTCTGAAAACTGTAGGTACTGGGGGTACTTATTTTTTTTAAAGGGGGTGCTTCATAAAAAAAAGATTGAGAAACACTGCCCCAAAGCATCCGTGTGGTACAAGAAGCTTTCGGCACAGAAGTTTCTTAAACACTTGTAAACATTGAAAAGTCAACTCCACCAGGCCCTCAACTCTATCTCTGACCCATAAATACTTGGAAACCACCAGGATGGTCCTCTCCTGTTTAACACAGTGGTTCTTAACCTGGGGGAAATTGATTTGGCATATTTCAGGGGGTGATACGTTTAAAGTACAATAGGTGTTCAATTTTGTTCAACGTAATGTACGAGAAAACTAAATACAATAAAAATGACGAATCAATTTTCTTTTCGTCCATTGCCATTTTAGAAAGGAGGAGGGGTAATTCTGGTTTATTGGTTAAGGTTAGGAAACAACAGTGCCACAGAGGTTAAGAACCACAGGTTTAACAGGAGAGGACCATCCTGGTTGTTTCAAAGTATTTATGGGTCACAGATGAGGAGTCAGTTTTACAATCCTGTCAGAAAACAATTGTAGTTTCTCTTATTCTAACCCGAATGAAATTAATAAGTAGTCCTGCCAATTTTCCCTGCCTTTGACACACACATTTTCACATCAAAGGCTATGAATGGGACACATCCAGCCCACTTAATTACCTTCTTAACACCGGTCCTACAACCGATAGGTAACTGCTTTTGCTGTTATAGACATCTTGGATTCTGTCATTTCCACTCTAGCTCATCTGAAGTGGGTTTTACGCACGAAAACTCATGATACCACAAATATATTTTAATTAGTGTCTAAGGTGCTGCAGGACTGCTCGTTTTTAAGTTACAGACGAGCATGGCTGCCCCTCTGAGACTTATTAACAAATGAAATTAGTTTGTGGAAACAATTTGTACCATTCTTGCTTCACTATTAAGCTACCTGTACGATGCCCAGAACCAGACACTGACAGAGACACCTCGTCTTTGCCTAACTGAGGACCACAAAGTCACCAGCATGACAGCAAGGCAAATTCGGTGGTTTGAGCCAAGGTTTTGCACTCCAGCAGCACTCAACAGATGGAGCCGTGTATTTTGGGAGAAACCACCCCAGCCAGGCCCACTGCTCATTTAAACATGATTTTACATCCCTAGCATAAAGATCCAAACATTTAAAACAACACATTTAATAATGGAGTGCACGGAGAGACCGTTACAAAGTAAAGGATTAGATATGGCGAGTAGTATTCACTGCCTGCCAAGCACGGGTTTACACAGCCTTGGACTTTATATCCTCTGAGACTGTGAGGCCACAACACCCAGGAACAAAAAAGTGAAGTCAAATGAGAATAACCCCCAAGTCATTGTCACTTTCCTCTAAAAACCGGAATGAGAAAAGTATGTTCTGGTTCTTCCTGAGACATGCGATCAGAGCCCACTGATTTTCTGCCCACTCAAATCCACATTAAGGAGCTCAGTCAGAGTGGCCCCCCCATTCAAAGATTTCACCATAAGCAGCTCCCATTAATCTTAGGTGGAGCTGTGGATGTTCAGACTCTGGAAAAAAACACTCAGGCCGGTTTTATTAAGGGGCCTAAAAATGGATTTTCACCTCTAAATCAGGCCCCAGCACTTTACAGTGCAACCCAGTTCTCTCACAGTTTGGTATGAGTCATGTGCCAAAAATTATTTTTTGCCAGGAAAAATGAAGCATGTCATTATTATAATAATTACTTAAGTATTTGCACTTAACTAGTAGAGAGCCCTTGGGCTCACATGGAACCGTAAATGGAAACATCTGAAACAGGGCCAAAAATACATGCCTTCTCTGAATCATGCATTTTAGAATAAGCCCATATGGAATGAAAAAATCTGGCTGAGATGCTACATTTATTACATATGTTTGGTGCAATATCATGGAATGAACTAAGAGCTGCAGAAGAACGTGGCACAGGGAAACAGGACACTTCCAATGGCGAACGTACATAATATTTTCAGACACTGACCAATCTCTGGTTTGTAGGATCTTGACATTTATGACTAGAACGGTTTTGTGGTGAAAGCACTGGATTCAGAAGATCTGCAATCAACTCCTTGGCCTTCCACAGGTCCCCTTTCATTAATCGTGTTTAACATGTGCCTAGTTTCCCTGTCTGTAAAAGTCTTCCTATTTCGCAGGATGAATTCACTGTTTGAGATGCCCAGGTACGTTATTGCAATGAGAAGTGTAAGTACCCACACAGAATCCCAGAGAAACATTTTAAGGATAGATATAACGTTTTGAAATAGCTGCTGCAGACTGCGGATGAAGAGGATGCAATAGAATTGCTAAACCCTTAGGAAAAGAATCTGCACAATGAAACCTTATTGTGTGCAGCAACTTACCCGTTTAGCGTTTCCTTTGTTTGGTTGTTGGAGCCATCTCTGTTCAAGACCTTTGATGGACGTCAGTTAATGTCGGGGAGCCTGCTCCACCACTTCTACTATACTAGGGTTGTGAAGGACTAATCGACTAGCCGATAAGCAAATGATTATCGGATAATCAACAGGATAGTCGACTAGTTGCTTCCTTTCCCCCCCCCCCCCCCCCCCGCTGCCTCTATCAGATAGGCTACGCCTACACTACAAAGAAAAGTCAGAAAAAGATACGCACATTGCGAACCACAATGTGCATTATCTTTTTTTGCTTTTCTTTCGAAAGAGGATTTTCCGAAATTTGGCCTATCTACATGGTGCCAAATTTTGGAAAAATCTTCTCTTTCGAGCCATCCCTTCTTCCTCATGAAACAAGGTTTACCGGGATGGCGAAAGAACGTGCCTGCTTTTTTGGAAATGTTTCTGAAAAAACAGACGTGTTCCTTAGACGCGGCATAGCTTTTCGGGGATACCTCTGGTATCCCGGAAACAAGCTGCAGTCTAGACGTAGGCATAGAGACAGCAAGGGGGGGAGGGTACTCAGAGCGGTAGTGCTGCACAGAGCCCAGGGTCAGCTGCTCCGTGCGATGCTGCCGTTTTGAAGGCCACGGGGAGCCCACCGTTGGGCTCCTTGAGGCATTTCAAAGGAGCAGTGCTGTACAGAGTCCAGGGTCAGCAGGGGAGTCCCCATCTGACCCTGGGCTATGGTGCTTTCGTCTTTGAAGTATAGCAACAGCTCTAGGGATAATTAACTGCCTCCTGAACTCAACACAAGCAACTGGAAGAAAGGACCAGATTTTAGGATCTTGTCCTCTGATAAGACAATTCCACCAGCCTATGACACAGCAAGACCAGAACCCATGACCCTCTGGTTCATAAGCACCACTTTCTGAGGGAACAGTCAAAGGCATGGGACACAGGTTACTTCTTACCTCTCTCTGAGAAAGGTACAGCAGGCGTCCTTGATATTTTGCAGCTGAAGGAAACTCGCCCCCATCAGCAAAGACTGAACGTTCTGCTGATCAATTGCTAGGTGTCCATTGTAGGCAAAGTTGATCAGAGCCTCTAGTGCACTAAACAGGTTGGAGAAAAGCAGAAAAACGTTGGTTGCATTCAGCTCTGTTAGGTTAGTTCAACTGAAGAACAATGTAAGAGGCCAGTAGCAACACAAATTTCTTTAACAACCCTTTAAGGCATGTTTCTAAACCAATACACTTTGCGTTTGTCTGCAGAGATTGGCAAAAACACCACCCACAAGCCATATCAGGCATGGTCCCTCGGCTGTTCCCCCGAATTACCTCGGATCCATTCCTTGCATGACAATCTCATCCTGCTTGCATTCCATCATGTCATTCGTAAACATGGCATGGAAGTAAGGGATGGAGGCGGCTAGTACGATCCGGTGGGCGCTGAATTTGTGGTCTCCTACCTGTGAACAGACAGAGGGGAACAAGGACATTCAGCAATTGGTCTAGAGATGATCCACTTCAGTGCCATGGTACCTTGCTAGGTGACCAGTGGGCTGAAAAGGCAGGGGAAAAGTCCTTTGATTTGACCTCCAAAATTAGGCATTTAAATTAGTGGCCTCATTTTTAGAGGGGCTGGCCACCAGCTGAAGTTATTGAGAGCTGTCTGTGCTCAGCGTCTCTGAAAATAATCAATAGGCAGCCGAGCGCCATGGTGGGAGGCAACAGCGCCCCCCAAAGGCAACACACACACACACACACACACACACATATAATGCCTCATTAGTTTGTTTACCTGCAATCCCACATGAACTCACTTCACCGCCTCTTAGAGATCTGCTCATATTTATGTTCTCTGTACAACCCTCACCCACACTTTGTGCTCTGGCCCACACACTAGCAAAATGGTTGTGGGGTTACACCATCTCAACACAACCTAGATTCGCAGACAGCTGGATGACTAGTGCCAAAGAAGAGCCATCAAACTTGGCACTTAGGAGACCAGCAATGGGAACATTGTAAATGCAGTCACCAAACAAACTAGGAAGAGTCACACAATCAATATACAAGACTATTTGTAACCTATGCTTACCGCGCCTGAAAAAAACGCATGTTATTCACAGACTGGTAAGAGTTTTAAAAGTCTGGTTTTGCCACCAATTTGCTTACTGCACCTCAACAAGTACAATAAAGTTTCACTTTTTTAGACGAGATGTTTATCCCTTGTTACAAACCTCCTTCACATTTCCACACAAACCGAATCTGCTCTCTCACCTACTAGTATAACCTTATTTAAACCGCAAAACAATCAAGCAGGCCTCGAGACAGCAACACCACAAACAACTAGCAAGGCCAACTCAACAGTATCAAGGTATTTCCTTTCTATAAATCACGTAAGTCCTAGGCATGCCACATGTCATTTTCTAATTCTATGGCATTATTATTTATACACATTTCCTGCTCGTCAGAGCTTAGTCTGAACAAAACAAAACCAGCCACTCGATAGGCATTGAAAGAAGGCCAGCATGGAAGACAAAGAGGAAACTGCTTGAGGAAGAAGGGAATTAGAGATGGTTGACAAAGGAGAGCATTCCAGGGATGAGGGCAGCCTGAGAACAAGCAGGAAGCCAAGTTGGAGAAAAGAGGACAGAGGGAGGATGTGGAAGAGTTTAGGAATGGGGAGATAGGCCAGACCGGGAGGGGGGGAATGAGAAAGACAGAGGGATGGGGAAAGACTGTGCAGGGCCAGGCCAGTGAACTTGAATCCTATGTGGGAGAAGACAGAAAGCAGATGAAGGGACTGGAGTAGGCAGGTGGGATGGGATAGCCGGGTTGAAAAGGGAAGAGGACGCTTATTTAGCAGCTGCACTTTGAACCACCTGGGCAGGGGACAGTGGATAGGCAATGTGCACAGGTCACAGACATTAAAGCAAGAGGTGGAGACGGAGGCGAGGATGGGTTTTGGAGGTATTAGTAAGACAGCAGCTCGCAAAGTTCTGCTGTGTTTGGGCTGCTGTCACTGCACGTTTCTACATCCCCAACCTCACGTACTTCTCCAGTGCCGGAGAACCCACAGGCCTCACAAATGTCACTGTACATATCCTGCAGTGGGACTCAGGAAAGTCACTTGCCGCCTTGTGCCCAAGACGGAGCAAACTGAACATGAATCTCCTGAGTCCCAGGCTAGTTCCTCAAGCTTATTTCAACCCCAAAGATTTGTATCTACGGACGTGAAGGAGAGCAGGAGGGTTCCTCGTAAGGTTTTATAAAGCCACTTTTGCTCAAAAGTGAACCCAAATCTTGCACCGAGCCTGCCCGAGAGATCCCATTTAACATACAAATACACCACCAGAGAGAGTGCTTATAAAACAGCACAGAAATGTTCAGTTAAAGAGCCTCTATCTCAAGAAGCTAATGAAAAACAGAGTCCGACTATGCAAGTGTTCTTTTATTGCATTTCCCTTCCTATTTTGGAAGGATTTTGCTCATGCACAATCACTTCCACGGGGGTGAATAAATTCTGACACAAGTATCCGGCTGTGGAATTACACAACACACAATGAGAAAGCAACTGAGGCAGCTTTCAGGTAAGACACCTGTCTAGCAGCCTGAATGCAGTACTGGAATGTGGGAAGAGCTGGGCTCTCTCTGAACCCCTTCCATGACTGACTTTGTGCAAGGCACTGTGCCACAGTGCCCCAGACGCCCTAGCCTGTATGACGGGGTTGATTAGGAACACTGAAGATAAGTGTTTCTACAACATTTTGAAGATGTAAAATATATGAAAAGTAGATCAAGAGTCAGAAGAGCTGGAAAGCAAGAAAAATATCAGTCACATGGGGTTTTGGTAAAACATCTCTCTAAAAACCATCAATCAGCATGACGGCTCTGACCCTCCAAAGCCACAAAGTCCCCGTGGCATGACAACATGAGCCAGCATTCCTTGAACTACAGGGGGCCACTATAAAGTGGTTATTGCTAGGGATGTAGGTGACTAGTCGAGTAGTTAACTACCCAATAAGCCTAGGCTTATCGGGTAGTCAAATCACTATTTGACTAGTCACTTTTCCGCCCCTGGAACCAGGAGCAGGTGCTGGGGGGAGCTGGCTAAAAAGCCGGCTCCCCACAGCACCGTCTCTGTGGGGGGCAGAGGTCCAGCAGGGGACTGGGCATGAGCCAGGACAGGTGAGTCCAGGCTCTTACTATATTGAAAAGGCAAGGGTGCGGCGGGGCTAGCTTCCAGGGCTGGGAGCTAACTCCACTGCGGCTCTGCAGTTTCCCCCTTATCAGCTAATGAAGTACTCGATTAGCTGATTAAACACAATTTAATCCCCTTAGTTATTGCTGCCATGATCCTCTTAACTCTGCTCCTTTGTGCTTAGGCAATAATGAATGCATGACCCCAGATCAAAGGATGCCGTGCTACATACATAGTTCCCCACCACCACACCTATGTATCCCCATCCAGCTACATCCTTGGAACCTCTTTGTTGACTGTCACCAACATGTACTATGCATGACTACTCGGTGGTATCAGACCCGCAATGGGACACTCTGTCACCTCATCTCTCAACTTTGAAGTTTCTGGGTTTAATCTGCAAGGTTTTCTTTAATGCCTTTTCTTGGATTGGTAGTTGTAGACTGAACACCCAGACATTTTAAAGGAGCAACAGTAACTAAGATTTGTGCTGATGTTTTCTCTCTTCCGTGGTAGGTCAGCATAAGTGACAGTTGTCAGAGCAAATGCCCAGAGGTGGATCATAAACAGAGACATTTTTCCTCCATCTCACTTCTGAACCATTCATAGGTAGAACATGTCTTCACATATGAATTACAGATTCACTGATATATGCCAAACTGCAGATCCATACATCCAATTACACTTAATCATTGATAGGGTTTATAGAACATCAATCATCAGAATATTTAAGTGCTAAGAGTTTATGCTTGATAAATTTTGTGACTGATTTCAGTTTAGCCCTACTAAATACTTTTGGGTATTCTTAACGAGCCTTCGTCCGCACTATTCTAGGCAGCCTAAGCACCTTCGGGCAGAGAAACTTGTACTTACTTGTCTTGTTTGCAGCTGATACAGTACATGTGAAGTCTTTATTGCCAGGCGGTTTTAGATGACATACAGATGCACTTAATGGCTTCCGCGCTGCCTCTTTTACTTCATTTTTAACATGCTGCCATTTAACTCAGCTAGAGAATGTTCTTAAAGGAAGATGTTTTCTACTTCCAATGAAGAAGCATTTGGAAGGTGTCAAAAATAAAGCTATTTATTTAGGAAGGATAATTTGGGTAAAGATAGGTGTCAGAAGAACAGCTGTTCTCAGCTCTGTCAGACATCCACCTAAGCCAGGCATGGGCAAAATATGGCCCGCAGGGTGGATCCAGCCCGCCAAGCCACCAGATCCGGCCCACAGAGGCAGCAGGGAGCCCCCAGCAGGCTCCCCAGCTTGCCCTGCAGCCCTACACAACAGGCAGAAACGTGGCTGCAGGGCTCCGGTTCTGTGTTAAAACTGGAGGGGAGGGGTGAAGATTTAGGAGCCACCCCGACCCCAGCACATTCCCATTAGCCAGTTTCTGGCAAAGCCCAGCCAAATGGGAGCTGCAGGCTGGAGTAACAGGCAGCCAAGAAGAACCTCTCCTGGGCTCAGTTATTCATGAAGCACATGGCCAGGCAGGCAGGCTGGCTGCAGGCAAGTTTGGCAGCTGGCAAGTAAGTCTTTTGGCCACAGCCTGCTTCTGGCACCCCAGCCCTTTCCTGCCCCAACTTTCTGCCCTCCCACCGCCAACATACCCAAACGCTCTATCCCCCTCTTGCACCCACACCCCCTCCCAGATCTGGAACCCAAATCTCCTACCCCAGATCACAATCCCCTCCTACCCTAGGTCACATCCCAAACCCCTGCACTCCAGTCCCCTGCCCTAAGGCACCTCCTTCACCCAAACTCCCTCCCATCTCCAGTTTCCAACCTGTACCCCCACGTCCTTTACCCCAAGCTCTCTTCTGCACCCAACCTCCATCCCAGACCCCGCATCTCCTCCATTAATATAATGGAAGAGTGCGGCCCTCGACCACTTTCCAAAATCATGGAGTAGCCCCCCTGTCAAAAGTTATTGCCCACCCCTGACCTAAGCAGTGCATGGCTGAATTTCTGCATTCATATGTAATGATGTTCCAGGTCAGACAATCTGTTGGAACTGAACGCAGGAGGTCAGGATCCAAAAAGTATGAACCAATACTGCCTGAGCTACTGAACTAGGCTCATCAGCTCAAGTAGCTGAGACATCTAAACTAAGCCCAGTCTGTAGAGGGGACAATGTGAGTTGTATTCAGCTGAATTTTGCTAGATTCCCTGTACATATTTCACACACCTGCCTGCGGAGCACTTCACCTGAAAGAAGGCTAGCGATACACTGATAGCTGAAGACTGCACCTAGAGGAGGTTTCCACCACACCGCTTTTCCTAGAATAGGAAAGGGACGATGTTCCCTCTGA